CCTGCTGAGCGTCTCCAATAAGCGACAGTTTGCAACGTCACAGCATGGGTGACTGACATTCTAGGAGAGCTGCAGTCCCATCTCTGAGGGAGGTGGAGAGGCTGGCTTGCACTGCGTGGTGAAGGCCATCCAGCCTGATGGTGTGGGAACCACCAGGCTGACTCTGGCACAATGTGGAGGGCGAGGAGGAAGGACAGGGTGTTGGAGTCAGACTCACATGGGGGGGTGGGGGCGGGGAGGGCTCCAGGATATGATGGCATGGGCTCTGACCCCAGGGCTGGGGAGGTGGCTGCACTTTTCTTACTGGCGTGCAGGGAAGGACTCCCAGCACATAGTCCAAACCCCACAAGCACTTGCTATCCTCAGTTATACCAGTATTTCAGAGCATGATAGAGATCCTGTTCTTCACAAGTACATTCTCACAGTGCTTGTTCTAGCTGCTCACACTTCCTGCCCCAAAGCACATCTCCTGATCCCAGAAATTTATGCTATCCACAAAGTTGCCTAAATTGGAGCCAACTTTATTGGAGCAATTTTTCGGTGTTCTTCCTGTGGTGTCAATGAGATCACGTTCATTAGCGCTGTCATTTCTCGTAACGCCTTCCCCCAGCACGGCACTGGAGCAAACCCAACAGGGTCACAGCCTTGCAACACAGACACACACAGGGAAGTGAGAAAAGAGGAATTTGTTAAAAGCAGAAAAAGGAATAAGAAAGCACAAAGGAACAACAAACATTGCCCTTTTTAGCAATATTAGACACAGCATCCAAAAAACAGGTCATTGGTTTTGAAATAGTTCTGATGCTGCCCTGAGCAAGAAAACAACCACTCCCTGGGTCCTGCAACTTGGCACAAAGTGCCATTACCCCCTCCTGTGAATCTGCTGAATTAACAGCTTAGAGTCAAATGGAAACAAGAAAACAAGGGAAACCTTCAAAAGGCACTGGGGCCAGGTTAATATGGAGGGCTGCTCAGATCCCCTTCTGAGACATCAGGATGTCCTTCTTAGCTCGTCAGCCTCTATAAGATACCAGACAAGCAAGGGATGACACTGGTCAGCCTTGAAAGAAGGCCTGGTCTCCTTCTGAGGGCAGAAAGAAAGTCTAGGTAGGTGGATGGGTGTCACTTCAGTGCTATTTGCACAATGACGTTTGGTGCCCAGCTGTTACATGGACTTGGAGATGAGGCAGGACTGCTAAGGAGTCATCTGGATGTGAAGGTCTGCAGCCCAGAGAACACCACCCTGCCCTGGAGCCAGCTTCCCTGGCAGAGCTCCAACAGCCTTGCCAGATTGAACAGCTGCAGAAGCAACAAAAGGTGTCTCTGTGGTCACGCAGTCAAACCCTCAAGGTGACATGGCCCAGGAGCTCACTCTGCCATGAGTGAGCCAGGCAGCCCAAGACCATCCTGTGGTGGGCAGACAGAGCCCTTCTTCACAAAGATGTCCACCACCACAGTCCACCTTAGTAAGTTTTTAAGGGCATCACTTATTGTCACAGCTGCAACATACCATCCTGCATGATCCGTATTTGCAACGCTTAGCTGGCCCAACACATTTTTGTCACCTCCGAACACTGCCAGCAGTGTTTGAGCTTCCAGACAACAGGTAAAAACTCTTAAAGTATAAAAAAAGAAAAAGGTCTTAACAGTAAACGCTTTTAACAAGGCAGGGTGGAACCAGATCCCTGTTGGACACTCCTGCATCCACCTTGCTAGGTGGAAATGACTTTGATCACTCATTTGGACTGTGGCACGCTGTGCCCAAGATGTGCCCGGTGACCTGTGCCAGTCCAGCCCGAGAGGTCCTCCAAGAGCAACATCATACTCCTAGGCACAGCTCCTTCGTGACCACATTTACTGTACTCTTAGCTGTATTCACGCTCTTCATTTGTTATTGACTGATGCCTGCATCTGCTTTGCCACATGTGCCTAGTTAATTAGTAGTGCCCTGGGGATACTGAAAATAGTGTGAGCTCATATTTCTGCAAACCCTCCCAAAAAACAGAGCCAGAGAAACAAGCTCTTGCCCAGCAAGAGCTGCTGCTGCTGGCAGGAAGGAAAAGCTGCGCCGACCCTTGTTTCCTGTAGCACCCCAAATGTGCCTAATTAGGCTCCAGCTCTTGTACAAGCTAGAAGTTCCCACACAGGCTCTGGGGAGCAAAGCCATGGGTTGGATGAGCTCCTGCCATCCCACCTGCCCAATGTTTCCAAGTTTTTAACTCCTGCTGCTGTGCCAAGGTGTGGGGTTACGATGAGGTGGACCAAGGCTCTGGCAGTTCCTCATCCTTGCTGGAGATTAGGGGTTACTGCTTACAGGCTCATCTCATAAAATAAGACAATTTTCCAATTAAAACTGTATTTAAAAAAGCTCTCAAACCCCAGAAATAAAGTGGGAACCTCAACAAATGCCCAGCTCTGTCTGCTCTTGAGTTTTGTAATGTAGGGTTCATTATGTGGGCTGGATTTGGATGCCTTTCTAATCCCCAAAGTAATTTCTTTCCCCTGTCGCAAGAATGTACAGCAAACCCTGATACTAGGGGAGAGCAGCAGAAGAAAGCTCACTGCTTCTTTTCTTCTGCTGTGGAGGGAAATTATTCACTGGTATGTGGGTGGATGAGTGTATACGTGACGTAGGGTAACTTTCAAACAGAACAACTGGGGCTTCTGCTTTTGTCTCCCTCCTTACAGTGTTCAGGGGAGGGGAATGCAGGTTTTAGGTCTGTCTGTCTGCGTTAGCAGGGCCCAGACATGGGACCCAGCAATATTTTCTCCAACTCCTTTGGTGATCCCTTTGGCTCAGTCCCAGACTTGCACTGGCACTGCCAGTCCTGGGTGATCTTCTCCTGGGTGTGCTCTGCCTGGGATGTTGTGGTTTTTTCCTCTTTTTCATAAACTAAGGCAAGCAGAGGGATGTACACAATCCTTCCTTCTGCCCTGGTGTGAAGGAGCAGAACTGCAGAGCTTTACAACCACCTTCATCCCTGGGTGGGGAGCAGGGCACTGAGACTGAGAACCCTGGCTAGGGGCAGGGTGCATTGCAACCAGGCTCTGCTCCCTGGCCAGGGCTGTGTAGTGGCATCGAGGAGAGAAGGCTTCACCCCAGCACCAGGGTCCTCCTTGGCCCTGAGCTCTGATCTTCTTGCCACATTCTTTGGGTGGCTTGGCACCGGGGCTGTGCTTCACCTGGAGTCCTTTGCAGAAGCCACCAGGGTATTCCATCTACAAAGCATTTCTCACTTGCTGTATGTTATACACCTGGCATGGCTCAGGCAGGGCAAGATGCTCCTGAAGGGTCCACGAGCCATCAAATGTGAAGGTGGCCTTGGGAAAGGTGCACGAGGAAAGGGCTGGGTGCTGTCCTGCATGCGGGCAGGCAGCAGAACTCAGGGCACACCAACCTCTCAGGGCACTGGGCATGCTAGTGGGTGTCAGTGGGATGGAGCAGGCTGCTAAGTAGCATGGAGGAGTCAGTTGGGATTTATAAATAGGGCTTGATGTTGATGCTAGCGGCGATCTCGTTGCTATAAATAAGATGAGCATTCAACAGCAGACACGGGTCTTGCAGTCTGTTAGCCACAACTCCCCTTCAGTGCTTTGCTAAATATCTGTTTTCTTGCAAAACAGGAGGACATGCTCTTGTGTCCAGTATCGTGGGAGGACATCTGGGGTGTTTGTACCATCTGCCTGAAATGGTGAGGTGCCACTAGTGTCGCTGCTTGTGCCTTAGTGCCCCTGGGCGCTGCCTCCACACTCCCAAGCATCCCTGGTGCCATATCACCATCATGCTGTGACAGAGATGCACCTAGCAGTGCTGCTCCTTCCCCTGCTTCCCACTCTGGGTGACCTCAGACTCCACGCACGGGTGGTAAACGAGTGGAGTGGGGTACAGCAAAGACGGTTGAGTGGATGTCAGTCGGCTTGTGGCCATTTCTTCCATCACTTTATTGTGTGATGTGGATAGTTCCCATTAAGGCAGACAGCCATAGACAGGGCTGCTTGCTGGCAGAATGCAGAGTATCACAACTCAGTGTGTGTATGTATACATATTTTTATATCTATATTCATATATACGTAAATTACAGAAAAATATAAAATATATAAAGATAAAAATACATAATAGTATTTTATACATATATAAAAATATGTATATATTCCTATGTGCTATTATAGGAAATATGTATACATTTTATATCTATTTCCTTCCAACAGCCTCCAGCATCTGCAGGGGATGGGTGTGTGGGATGAGCATTCTCCCAAGTGCACCAAGTGCCTGGCCCATGCTGTCCCTTGGCTCTGAGTACTGAGGTCCCTGGGAGCCCATGGTATCCTCACCCTGCCCTGGGAGGCTGTGGGTTTGTGCTGTTGTCAGACCCCTGCTTTGGTGGGAAGAGGCTGCCCTGCTGGCTGTAGTGCCCTGGGTAATCTGGGATTTTTAAGAGCAGAGAAGCCATTTCTTGTGTCTCATGTCCAGTGGACATCACCCCTTGCCAAATCCCAGCAGAGATGCTCTGATGGCTGCTGGGTTTGCAGAGATGCAGGACAGAGTCCCGGGGCTGAGCTGGGACCCAGGGACCTGCCCAAGGTCACAGCCTGTCCCCTGGAGCCAGCAGAGATCGTGCTTCATGGGAGCAAAGGAGGGATCCCCTATTGCCACCAGCCCTGTGGTGACTCAGGTATGTTTTTCTCTGAGAAAATAAATCACCTCGCACCATGCTCTCCAGCACGCTGACATGGCTTGCGACTGAAACAGCACCAGGATGAGGACAGAAAAAGTGCAAAACCACTGTGTGAAGCAGGATGTGACAGCCATAACAGCGAAACACACTCTTTAAAGCCTTCCCACACCTTGCAGAAGCTGCATACCAGCGTCCATGCTGGCCACAGGGCGCGACGCCTCTGCTAGTGTTCACGTTTGCTTTTCACCTGCCTGGGAGGCTGGGAGCTGGGGCCATGGCATTGGAAAAAGTGTCAAAAACAGATGCCAGGCTGCTTTCCCTGACACCTGGGGTGTGCCCCACATTTTGCCTGCATCTGAGTGCCATGAAGATTTTGGGAAGGACCTGCTCTCCCCGGGCTAGTTTGTCCACAGCCTCTGCTACCCTTGCCTGCCCACTACCAGGTGTTTTCAATGGTGGTCAGCAGAGTATTTGATGTGTACAGAACACAGAGAGATGGAGAAGAGTGAGGGTCTCACCCCCCTCTCCCAGGCTCACAAGGGTGCAGAGACCTCCAAGAAGGTCCCTACGCAAGCATGCCAGTGGTGGCACCACACTGAGCCCCTCCCAGCAGCCATCCCCACTGCCCTTGTGCCATGCCACCATGTGGTTCCCTCTTCCCCTCTGAGCCATCACATCCTGTAGCCAGTGGTGGGTGCTTGTATGGGATCCCATGAGCAAAAGCGGGGTCCCAGGAGGGGAACCAGCACAGCCTCCAGCCTCGTGCTTGCCCAGTGCTGCCGGCTAGGCACGCAGCCAGCGCTGCTCTCCCCAGCGCCGCTCTCCCCAGCGCCATGTGTGAGTGTGCAGGGGGAGCATGCTGCACCCTGTCCGCTCGCCTCTGCCCATGAGGCAGTGAGGTAGGGGTTGTGTGGGGTCTGATGCCCTCCGCCCAATAACCACCTGCAGTTCCAGGCTTAATCCTACCTCCAAAAGCAAAAACATTACAGACAAGGCAAGCTGCCTTTGCAAAGTCTGCATAGACTGACTGCCGTGCCATGCCACACACAGGAGGGACACCATGCTGAGCTCCCTGAAGCACTTCTAAGGGCCCTTCAGTGAAGGGAGGTTAGATCAGGAAACATAAAACAAATTCACTGGAAACACCAGTGCTCTGAAACCACCTTGTCGCCTGGCCGCCTTTCACCCCCCGAGAAAGGAAGAACAGAAGCAAAGAAAACGGAGATGCTGTACTCACCTTGCATCAAGCCCTCTCCTCTGTCCTGTGCTTGGGCTGGGATGAGGACAGCCTCAACTTCTCAAACTTGGCTGGGAAAAGCAGCCAGGCTTCAGGAGCTTTGTGATGCACCCCAATCCTTCCTTCCTATTTCTGTCTTACAGTCGGCTGGGGCAGAAAGGAGGAAGTCAGAGCGGTGACTGTGGGAGGGTGTGTTCCCCCCCACCAACCCAATCAGCCCCACTCACATTGGCCAAAGTGCTGCCAAAGCATCCTGCCCTGCAGGGCTGGGGCTGATCTCCTTCCGGGGCAGCCCCCCTGCTGTACCTGAGAAAAGGACCCTACCCAAAACCTGCCCTTTTTGGCCCACTTTTAACCTTTCACAGCATCACTGAGGGCCAGCCCATTCCCCCAGCAGGCAAGTAATGCTGGTAGTGGGGGAAACTGGTTCCTTTGGGAGCTATCAGTAGCCCCTGTTGCAGAGAAGATGGGGAGCTGGCTCCCCTCAGACTCTGGGTTGGGCTTTAAAATTTTTGTGTTGGGGCTCACTGCTGGTGTAGCGAGGCCTCCTCACTTGGCAGAAGATGCCAGTGCCATTCTCGCTGTGGCACAGCTCAGGCTGTGTGGTTTTTTTTAAGCAGCCTTCATATTTTGTTGTGCAGGCTGCAATATAACTCCTCCCAATGCACCTGCAACAGTATTTCCCTGAGCAGAGGGAACCAGCTCCTGGCAACTATCTCTTAACCTCTTTAGGGCACTAAAGTAAAAAAACCCAAACAAACAAGTAATTTAGAAAATGTACAGGATCATAGATTTTTAATAAAGATAATTAATGTGAAGCTTTTGTTGATTGCTTTGTAGGTTCCCCTTCCAGCAAACTAACATTGAGTGACCGTGATGTATTATAAGACACTGATGCAGTTCACCTGCTGCTGTCCTACAGTTATCGAATTGGGTTTATTTTTGCAGCGAGCAAAGAGAATCACAGTGCTAATGGCAAATTTCTGAGCCCTGATGGGTTAGTGCTTTTATTACAGACAACAGAGCTCTGTGCTGGTTTCATCGCAGCCAGGTGCTGGGTGTAGCTAGAAAGCATGGTAGCAATGCTTGCAGAGGGAACTATTGCCCAGCTGGTGCAGGATATGGTGGGGATGAAGCCTGCTGGAAGCTGAGGTTCCCACCCCAGTTTGCTTGGAAAGCTGGGAGTGGCTGCTGCTGGATGCTGCAGAGCAGCCTGAGCAGGTAGGCTGCGGCAGATAAAGCTGGGAAAGCTGGTGAGGCTTCCTGCCAGCATTGCTGGTTGCAGATCTGGGGGAAGGAAGTGTGCTTGAGTGAGATGAGCTGTTGTAATTTTTCCTTTTGTCTTGCATAAGGCCCTTATCAGGCTGTTCTTTTTTCTTCAATTATTTCATTGGGTTTTTCAAACCACTCTGCTCCCACTGACAGGTCAAGGGAAGGGAGTGAGACAGCTGGGAGCAGTGGCAACAGAGCAGATATACCATGGGACCTTGTAGCCCAAAGCTGAAGCTCAATGGCATACTCCTAGTTCATTCCAAGCTGTTTCTCATGCTTTCTTGCATCTTTGGCCTTAAGTGGACATCCACAGCAAAGCCCTGTCCCTATCAATTCCCAGGGGACCCTTAACACCTCTTTCTCTCTGCCTCCAGCATATCAGTGCGTAGCCTGGTAGCTCATTAGTCCTGGCTATTTACTACACGTATTGGCTAATGAGTAGTTACTCTTCTGCTATGTCTGTGCTTTCACAACAGCACATGGGACAAGATGTCCAAGCAGAAGCAAGCCAGGGCTGGAGCAGACAGCATTAGGATGCTTGCTACCCGCCACAGCTGGCAAAACCCATGCATGTGGGTTTCACCTGCTTGAGGTTTTAATCTTTGATACTTCCTGGTCTGGGAACAACTTCCATTTTTCAGATGATGTCTTTTTGTTTCTACGTTTTATTTCTCCTTGCTGCTGTTTAAGCCTGCTGTAGTTGAAGGGCGTGGGCATCCTCTGGAGAGATGTACATGCTTAGTTGCAGTGTGTGGTTGCGTTGGATGGTCCACAACCTGACTGTAAGCATTTTAAGCTGTTAAACATTCCTTTTTCTATTTTCTTTTAACTATCTTTATTTTTATTAGTTCCCCTTTTTAATTTTATTTTTACTAGAGTGGATTGTGTTTCCTCCTCCCCGATCGTGGAACTGTTGTGGTTTTTGCAGGATGCTCTTAAGCAGCTGGGGTGGGGAGTGGGCATCCAGCCGTGTGCTGTCAGAGCCATTGCTCCCTGGAGTCATTCATTTTGGTGCTTTGCTCCTAAATGATGCTCACCCAGCCTACAGCACAGTAATGGAAGTTTTCCTGGTGTTATTTTCTATCCCTGACAAATGTTTAATCTTCCCTGGTGTGTCCCAGCCACTACCATACTCTGGCTGAATGAGCAGCACAACAGGAGCAGGGATTCGGGGTGGCTGTCGGATCTCCATCTTCAGAGATACTTTTAATTTCAACCTTCTAGTATTTGTATATGCTTGGTTGTGAGCAGGTGCGTAAGCCAGATGCGGCATCTTTACAAGCAGCATCACCTTCCCAGAGACCTGTCCCTGCATTTCCCCATGTCCTTGGCACCCATGAGGAGGGTCACCAGCAGTGCACTCACGTGGCATAGCTTGCCTTGCACACCTGTGCTGTCCACACTGATATACGCTCATCAACGCCTCGGCTGGGTGAGAGCAGCTACTGCCCAGGAGATGGACTCACTGATGCTAGCCTTCCTGCTGGGAGCAGCTTTGCTTCCCCCAGCCTCGCTCTTCTCATCCTCTGGCACATCCTTGCTCATCCATCTGCAAGCCAGGAAAATGGAAGTTCAGTCAGCGTGGAGAAGTACATGGCAAGAAGTTTGCCTTGCTGTAAGAAACCAGTTACTGGTGAACATGACATTTGTCATTGTATTTTTTGTATCGGTTTTTGGTATTTTTTGAGGTTTCAAAAGAGCAGTGGAATAATACTACCCAAGGTAGCCCCAAAGCAAGGGGGGTGATCCAAGTCCCCGGGGCTGCTCCCCAACATCAGGTCCTGGGAAACACAGCTTAGAAGGGGCTGGGAAGGGCAGAGAAAGGCCAGCTGGAAGACAAAGGCACATTAACAATGGAGCACACATCGGGGCTTTTTAAGAGCAAAACCGCTGCGGCTCCAAAGGCTGGAGCTTTTTATTCACCTGGTGAGGAGAAGCAGCTTTGCACTTCACCCCCTCACATATGTGGAAAGGTGCAGCAAGGTCTGTGCCTATTTTGTTGGGACTTCCTGCCTGGGTCTGCAACTGCACAGTCAAACACGTGCTCAGGGCCCCACAGGGGCTTGTTGGTTACTTTTTTGCTGTTATAACTACGGAAATAAATTCTTGCAGTGAGTTTCAGAGTTCGTTTTTCTGTCCTACTGGCATCCCAGTCTCTGGCTCGTGCTAGCAAGAGGCCTCAGCTCTTCCTGGGGCTCACATCAAACTTTAACTGTGTCGCAGGGTCTCTGGGCTTAACCGAAGCACACCAAACACCCTCAGCTGTCTCCAGGAGCCACTTTTGGCAGACTGCCTACTGCACTGCCAGGCTAAACCCCCCAGCTTTCCATGAAAGCGATTGGCGGCAGAACGCTGGCGTTTAAGACCCCACCATTATGCTTCAGAGTTAGCAGCCCTGGAGAAGGCTGGCTGGGGCTGCCGCCGAGGCGCTTTCTGCGCTCCGCCCGTAGCGGGGCGCTCCCCAGGGCCCCAAAGCGCGCCGGGTCCACTACCCTCTGCCGCGCGCCGGCCGGGTG